GTTTATACATTCTTTTTATAGATACAAATATATAAGTAAATGCTCTGTTTTATAATAAACAATATTAATAACATTTACCGGCCTGAATATCCGAGAAATTTTCATAGAAAATATTCGTCCTCCGACAGGAATCGAACCTGTATCCTACACGGAACCGTCATATAGCCTGACGTGCCTTAAGTATGGAGGATCGTTCGATAAGCAAGGTCGATTTTACTGTTTTTAAACTGCAATCTTCAATGAATCTCTCATATGTGCTCAAAGCGTATCCAATTGTATACAAATGACGTCTCACATTATGAAATGGACAAAGTCCGACAATTATTTTAAGGCATTTTTATGTTTATACATTCTTTTTATAGATACAAATATTTAAGTAAATGCTCTGTTTTATAATAAACACACACACACATATATATATATATATATATATATATATATATATATATATATATATATATATATACACAAAATCATTTACAAATTCAAATCCAGGGAGATAACTTATATTTTCGAGACTAGTTTACGGAACATACTTAAAAATTGTTTGTGATATTCGTGACTTGCATTCATCCATAGTAGAAAAAGTAACGAGAATATACTCTAGTAGTCTACTTTCCTAAGAAGTCATATAAATTCACATACAGAAAAGTAAGTAACACAATAATATATATATATATATATATATATATATATATATATATATATATATATATATATATATATATATAAAAATCGTAAAAACAGCAATACGTGGAAACAACAAAACGAGAATTATTCATTATTATCTGGTTGTTATGTGGTGTTGGAGTAATGGATAGTGGCTCAGAATGAGGAATCTGAAGGGCGAGTTCGAATTCTAGTCGGTTCTATTACATTCATTTATGTGCTAATACCCTTGGGAAAGATATGAATCCTCTTCTTCTCCCCCCCCACCACCTCCAGCTATAGGTAAATAGCAGGACAGACTGCGTTCTATAGCCTAGGAGTAAGTAACTCTGAATTCAAAACTGGCGTTTTCTTTCTTTCTTGCCAAGCGTGATACCCGCTTAGGCGATCATGTATCTTTCAATACACAGTAGGTTGCCATTTCTTTGTGCAGTAGACCAGTTCCCATCCAAGGCTATAGAACCCGGTCTATCCTGCTATTTACCCATAACTGTGGAGAAAAGAAGCGGATTCATATCTTTCCCAGGGATATTAGCACGTAAGTGAATGTAATGGATTTGACTGAAATTCGAACTCGAATTCCTCAATCCGAGCCGCTATAGACCGTACTATATAGCTAAAGAAAGGATCGTTCGTATTGGCTCGATGGTTCCGACTACGGTCGACCTGGATGGATGGAACACGAGAGACAGTAATACTGAGTGTAAATGTGAGTTTGGGTCAAACGTAGATCAAGTATGGATCGAAATCCGACAGAAGGATAAGATAAAGAATAAAGATAAGCAAAGTGTATACAGTCTTTCTCGTATGTATTTTTATAGCTGTGTGTAATGAGTGGTCAGATAATTTCGTTATAAAGTACAAGTGTCTGTGGTTTTCTTAACTCGAATTTTTGTTGAGTGGTAAAAGATAAATGTTACTATTGGGCTCGTCTATTAGCCCAATCTTACCTTATTCGAGTAATGCACTATTCCAACTTTTCATTCGTAAATCTAGCCCTCTGATTGGTTCATTTCTACCAATCAGGTCGCCCGCACGTGCACTTCGAAATTTTGGCGCAAAATCGTTTTGGAGCCACCCACGTGATCATGACCTCTTAAAAAAAAACCAAAGCACGTGTGACACGCAGATGCAGATCAGCAGCAGACCATTTTTTCGACCGCTCACTCAAGCTTAAAAATGTGACGACTACTACTCCCATCTCGACGAATCGAGACGACAAATCTTTCCCGTTCAATATCTTCTACGAACTTCTTCGTCATTCAAGAATCTCAAACTATACTTTCTCTTTGATCATCTACGATAAATCAGTCAGTCCAGCGAACACAGAGAAGCACTAATCTAATCCACGTAACTTGCGATTATAATTTTCCCGCACAAACGAAACCACAACTGACTCACCCACAAACTCGACTCGATTACTTCTACTCGCAAGACTTTACTTATCCAAAGTGAATTATTAACGCTCACTACAATTTAAGTAAATACTATTATTGAACATATTACATACTTACAGTTAAGGGTAGACTACTTCTGAATGACTCAATTCTAAACAATACAAAAAAGAACAACACGAACATAATAACGGTGTTTAAACACTAATTACGAATTCTTATAGACTGTAATACAAATACACCAAGACACAAAAAACAAACAAAATCTTCATCCACTCACAAACATAACAACACAATAATATCTTGTAATAATATTTTGTATATAATATTTGTATTGTATATAAATGCATTTGTTTGTTTGAATTGCATACATGTTTTGTCTTGTTTTATATTAAGTATTATTTATTGTTGTGGAAGAAGATCATGCAACATGACAAAAATTCCTTCTGATATATTCTAACACCATAGCAAAAAATCTTAGTTCATTCTGCGCATCCCCAACATTAATATTACGGCCTGGAAAAGGAAAAGAAGATGAAATTTTCTTTTTTTGCTGTGAGACATTAATGTAGAAATTCTTGAAAAAATCAAATAATTATCGGATTTTAACGATTTTAATTTTCAGGACTTATTCATAAATGAATGAAATTATTTTGGAATATTTTTTTAGAAAATCTTGGTAAAAATATTTCTAGATGTTTTACAGCCGTACTTAATTTCCTGAAAACTTAAAAAATTCAGCATGATAATTTTAGCGACTATATTAGTTAAAAGCAGAATTCTTTGAAGAATTTAAACCACCATATTTTTTTTTACAAAATTGGACCCCATCTCACCGAAAATCTCTTCTGAATCGAAAAATTAAAAAAAAACGCAATAAAACTATTATTTAATTAGAGAAGCTTTTAATTGTTTTTATGACTTATATATTTTAAAGACAATATTGTCTGAAGATAAAAATAAAATTCACTGAAACGTGAATTCTTACAAGGTTTGTTTTAATTTTCTTTACAATTTTAAATTGAATAATTTATGAAGTTTTTAATTTTTTTTAAATTCAGTTTCAGTGGTGTCACACTTAGGAAATATTGTTATTGAGTAAAACTATATTTACTAATCATATATTGTAACGCTTATTACAATTATTTTTAAAAACAATTAATTTGTGTGTGCGTGTGTGTATAAACGTTTAATTTTTGTAAGTATGCTAGTTCATACATGACATTATCATTAAAAGATCACGTGTTTTAAGGGTTGTCCCCCACCCCTTACGGAATAAAACTCATATAAAATTTATTGGCTGCTAGCAGTTTTGATCCACCATATTTAACTGTCAGCACGTCAGAAAAACAAGACCCCGTGGTTAAGAAATGCTTGTATACAACATTTTATGCTATAAGTAAGTCATATTTGTTTCAACTCAGATTAATTTAACTTTAAATTTGCTAATTTTCCTCAAATAACGCTTGAGAAATATATATTTTATTTTATTTTTGTAAGATTTTTAAAACCGAGAATTAACTTTTGTTTACAAATGTGTCAAAATGACCGATTTTATCGATTTTACTGAATAAAAATCGATTCCAATCAATACAATTACCCTTTGAAATACACTACAGAGTATTTTGCTTACTGTTATAATGTTAATCCTTTGGCTTTCGATGAAAGCTAAGATGAAAGCTTCAAGATAGTTTTTTCATATTAAAAAAATCATTTTAAGCCTTACGTATCGCAAACTATCTAAAAAAAACTGAAAAAAATATTTTTTTGAAAATTGGTACTTGCATAATTTAATAAGACAAGTTATTTTCTTTCAGCTTCGACAGAAAAAATCTAAAGTTGATATTTATTTTTTTTAATGCCTTGTAATTTATCAGTGAAATTTTTAAATTAATATTTTTGTTGTTCGTCACAAGAGCTTATTTTATTAAATAAAGATATGCTTGATGAATTAAAAAATATAAAGTTTAATGTTATTTTCGATCGAAACTATTAATTAAATAAGGTTAACTTAAAGACATTTTATTTTTAAACGTAAATTACAAATTATTGATTATTGTACTGCTGGCTTTCCGTACACTTTTTAGGGCTTATTTTTACTTTTTCCCGCGATATTTCGGATCGTGGTAGAATACCTGTATTTGTGTTTTGACCTGTGACCTCACAGGCTAACGTGCCTAAAAAAAAACGTTATTTTCATTCTCTTTTAAATTAAAAAGGGTGAGCGTTACTTTTAGAAAATCGTTAATTAAACCTTGAATTTACTAACAGACTTCGAGACACATTTCTAGTACAAATGTTGGATTTTAAAGAGAACTTTAAATTTGCTGTTTAGTCGACGAGTGACGAAAAAAAAGTATTAATGTTTTATTCCAAAAAAGTTTTTACGGAAATTCTTTTTTCTTTTAATTCGAATTAGCTTTTTAGTCAGACCATTATCTTTCAAACAGAAGCGAAATTTAAGTTCAAAGAAGGCATTTATAATATTTTTAAATGTCTTTTGGGGGTCTTTTTAGAAAGTCCGTGGCGGTTTGAAAGAATTCCCAACTCGTCGATTTGAACATCAACACTGTAGGCATCATCATAGCGATCAATTTTTTTTTAATACAATTAATGACGTAAGTGATCATGACCCTCCTTTTTTGTTACTTACTTTTCTGTGTGTGAATTTATATGACTTCTTAGGAAAGTAGATTAGTAGAGTATATTCTCGTTACTTTGACTATAAAGTCACGAATATCACAAACCATTTTTTAAGTATGTTCCGTTAGTCTCGAAAATATAAGTTATCTCCCCTGGATTTGAATTTGAAAACTACAAGTAAATTGTGATTAAGTCACTTTTAAGTATACTCACAATGTAGATATTTCATATTCCATAAATTCTAATAAAAAAGACTACTTTTTATGTAATGGTTTACATTTACTATATTTAAAGGTGGAATATTTTAAAATATCTACTTTTTTTAAATTTCTCCGTGACATTTTTATACCAACTTCCGGTTACACCGGTGTTATCGTTGTGGATATCGTAAGCATGTTTTATGATTATTTTTGTTTTTCTGTTAATGCATTGTAAATATTAATCAATTCTACGTTTTAGGTATATTTTATTCATGGATTTTGTTGAAAAAAATGAGATTTAATTCATTATATTACTTGTATAAAAATATTTCATTTTATGTTTTGTTGTGTCAAATGGAAATACACAAAAACTGAAATGAATGTTGAATTAAAATTTTATTTTTTTTAAACCATTAAAATTTTTTTGACATTTTTTTTAAAAGTTTTATAATACTAATGACTTTTTATTTACACGATCACAGAGAAACAAAACAAGTTATCTAAATTGAACCCTAACGTTTCGATTGATCCATCTTTCAACTCTCATCAAATTTCGTTTATTCCGTAAGGAAATGAAACCCTTGTTAAAAAAATAATTAGCTGAAATATAAACAATATATTAAGAAAGGCTCTCAGTTGTTTGATCCTGACAATATTTAAAATGTTAAACGACTTTAAACAAATTTATCGGTCAAAAACATTAGTTGGTTTTTTTTTTTTGGTTTAGTCGATAATGAAATTAATTTTAAAAATAAGTGTTACAATCAATCTAAAATTTAAATTACTTTAGCCTAATTTCTATATATTAAAAAAAAAAAGAAAAGTTTCGTCCACTATCAATTGACAGCTTGGCACTAGACTGGTCCTCTCATTAAAAATGGCGAAATAATTTTTGTAGATTAGCATTCATTACCTTCCTTAGTCTCTGCGACACTTGTCGGTATTGAAAAATATTTATTTGTTATCGATATAGAATGGGGATGCTGTTTATGACATCGATACAGTGTCAAATCGATCCCTGATTTTTACAGAGTTATTGGACTTGGGCTAAATCACTTTAGCTGTTATTTACAAATGTCACGTTTGAAATGCTGCAAATATGAATTTTTAAACTTTTTTTTTTTTTTAATTTCCCTAAAAACATTGTTTATATGAGATGTAATTTTCCAGAAGCACATTCGCTGACATTTTGAGGTTAATTATTTATCTTAAATTAAGAATGAACAAATATTTCTTTTATTATTATTTTACGAGTAAACTACTTAAATAAACTGGTCCAGTTTGTAAGACTCAAATCATGGAGAACTATTATTACATTCAACACTTTAATAAACTTGCCTCCGGGGTAAGTAACAGTCTAACTCTCTGCTTTCGGGCGGAGAGGAACCCGGACGAGGCTCCGCCGAAGGGCAGAGTCTCGTTCAGGGTGGTTGACTGCCCCTGAACCCGTTTATGCGGGTTCAAAAAGGGAATATTTTTGGCCGAGCCTACGGGCTCGGAAATCCCACATTAAACCTGGCCTTGTGCCATATGTAACCCTTGTGTGGGGTGGGGTGGCTTAATATTAAATATTACTTTAATAAAAAAGTAAAAGTCAATATTGATAAAAACAGCTGCCTTTTCTTCATCTTAAAGTAAATGAAAGAAAAAATACACAAAATTAGTGTTTTAATTTGTTAAACATTCATAATTCAATTTTTTTTTCTCTCTTGAAATATAAGATAAAAACATATTCACTACCTTTGCTTTCCAAGATCTTTCTTCAAAACACTGATTAATGGTTACTTAACTAATGTCAACAGACTTTCAGCTCTGCCCTGAGACATTAGTACAAGTGATTTGCAGTAAGGATTTCTAAAAAGAAAAGTATGCCTCCTTTTCTAATAATTTTCTCAGTGTAGCATGAACATTGATGCTGCTAAATAGGGAATAGTCGTAAAATGACAACAATTAAGATTTTGTATTTTTAAAAATAAACTTGTGCATTGTTTCATTGAGAAAAAAAAATGTTTTTTTTTTTTTTATTTTTCAAGTTTATTCATGACTTTGTCCACAAATTTGAACAGAAATGTCTCTGTATGATGGAATTGACAATAAGGAAGGTGGCGACACTGCATCAGATGTTGTTTGTAAGTATTCTTCAAGTATTGTTGTCTCTTATTTACTAATCTTGCCAAAGCCAATACATTGTCACCCTCTGTAAACATCATTGAGTGTTCCAAGAAATATAACATCAGGACTTGAGTAAACAGACTGGTCCACTCATAAAACATAAACAGTAAGCTAGGCTCTGTAAATATGTCTACAAGCTTCTCCACAATAATGCAGTGTAACCTGGATATAAGAGAGTTGTCGAGACCGGAGAAGTTTCTTATATCCGGGTTTCTCTTATATCCGGGTCTAATTTACATTAACACAGGCTCTAATTTGGGACCAGATAAAATCTCTCTTATATCCGGGTTACACTGTATAAGACAAATGTTTTGATCTTTGTACACTACAGCCTTCTTATGTCTTTTGTGTTTGGTAATTTTGAATGGAATCTATTCTGACACTACTAAATAAAATGGCCTACTTGTAAAAAGAATTGTTTGGTGGGGTAATTTTTGTAGATTAGCATTTCTTAAACCTCGCTCAAGGTATGACAGTTGTCAGAATTGAAAAATGTTGATGTCTTTATCATTTTAGAAGTGGAGTTCCATTCATAATATCGATATAGTGTTAAATCAATCTCAGACTTTTTTAAAGAGTTACTTCTACTCGTGTAATTTGAAAATGCCAAGTTTTAAATAGTGTTTACGTCATTTATATCTGCATACAAGAGCAGACATTTTTTTTTATAAAATGATCTCTTTTAAATAAAGAACAAATGTATGTATACATTTTTATGCATTTTTTATTTTTTTGAACAAGCATTGACAGTTATTTCTATGGTAAAATATATTTTTTGTTTTCAATAAGATTTCTTATTATTAAAGAATAAAAAGATAAATACATTTTTAATTAAAGAACAGACGAAAATAATATATATATATATATATATTTCAAACAAGGAATTGATTGTCAGGTGAGACTTCTTTTTTTATGAAAAGATTCCTTTTGATTAAAGACAAAACAAATATATACACTTGTTTGAAATATGTATGTATACATATTTTATTTATTTAAGAAATCTGTTTTTAAAAAGGAGAAAAAAACGTCTGTTTTCATATGTAGATATCAATGACAGGAATAACTTCAAAGTTTACATTTATCAATAAAAAAAGTAGGTAGAGACAATTCTTTAAAAAGTCAGGGATCAATTACACTATATCACTATTATGAACAGGACCCACTTCTAAAAGGACAAAATTCAGTATCTCTTGATTCTGCCAAATGTTGTGCCTTGAGAATGGTCTAATGGATGCTAATCCACAAAAGTTATTTAAAAAAAAAAAAATTACTTATTATTTACGAGTTGACTAGTATATTTAAGTAATGCCTGTTTGATTCATAGACTTATGCTCTTTTTCCGACACTTGTGACCTTTGCCAAAAAAAAACAAGTTCAAATGAAATGCATCTTGTTGTAACCTAGAAAAGGTTACTAAATGTGGAATAACCAAAACAAAGGTTGGGAATGAAATGGTAATCTTTATAGCATCAACAAAATACAATACTCATCAGCAGTATGAAGTAGGTACTACTGCTAGTGGAGGACTACTTACACAGCATATTACACCCACTTACAATAGTGTCCAATGTATTTATGAGGATTGGGATAGTGTTCATAGGTATGGTATATAAATCAAACTCAAAAGTTTCAAACAAAAGCAAATATTTTATATTCTTTGCAATGGTGGGAAAGATGCTTTAATTTATCAAATCATTTCACGCATATGTAAAACGTAGGGAATAAAAAGAAGTGTTATGAAATAGCTTTGATTAATTTTGGGATTGAAAACTAACAAAATTAACTGCCCACCAGGCCAGGCGGCACTTCTCCATTGCACTAAAAACAAAAAAGGCATGTCCTGATGCCTGCAAGGATAGCTAAGGAAACAAGGCAATTTCTGTACCATCACACAACCATGGGTTCCTTATTCTAGAAAGATCACATGTTTTAATCATACATGGTACAACAGAAATATCTCCCACATAATCATAAGACATTAGCTAGATGAAAATATTATTGCCACTAATGTTTTACCATTATGTGGGAGGTAATTCTGTCACACCCTGCACTTGTGTGGCAACAAATGAATGTTGTTAGTAGTTTCAAAATTACTTAAATTATTTGAGCTGTTATCCTCATCTTTATTGCCATATTATCCTCGTTAAGATGAGGATATAATGTAAATAATCATGGCATGGTTATTATCACATTAAATGGAGAATTGCCCAGTGAAGCTGGAGGAACTTGTTCAAGCTGAAAAATGGAAGAAGAACGTTTACAAAACCATTTTTCTTCTTAAAATACTACTTAGTTTTTTTTCATTATCTAACCAATATATAAATGACTTTTGCGTATCTTATACAAAAAGTTTTGTTAAATTTTACATGTGAATTTATAGATTTATGCTTTTTATTTTTTAAAAATTAAAATTTGAAGGTCGGCAAACTATTGGAAAATCTGAAAGTACTTAATAAAATGATTAAAATAATATTTTCTAGAAATCAAACATAATCTCCTGTGCACCTAATTTAGAGTAGTCTTGAGTATGATGATAGACTGCATCTGGCAGCAAGCACCCTTTGATTGAGAGATTTGACGTTTTGATGAACGTGACTCCGCCTCTTGTCATTGTTCCCAGGTCCACCCAGACCTGGTTTTCTAGCACCTGTTAGGGTCCCAGCTATGGGCAAATAGTGAACCACCAAACAAAAACAAAACACTATGAAAGTATAAAAATACATTTTTATAGTAAAAATACCAGCAATACAGTTTTATATAAAAAAATTACTGACTGTATATATTTGTAGTGAAATTACCAACAATACCTATTTATAGTAAAATTACCAACAATATATTTTATCTGTAGTTGAAGACCTACAATTGCATTCAAAATGTTTAGATTTCAGCATTAAATAACACGTGGAGATTGATATGCCACCAAACAAAATCAACCAACTTATCTAGTTCAGAAGTGAATATTAATCATGTAGATCAAGCCGGTGCAAAATATGGCTTGTGGGTCACATGTGACCAGCTGACTAACCAATGTGGCCCACAAGAGTTTTTTCAAAATAGTCACTATTTTTGCGTTCATCAGAATAGATTCAGTAACTGATTGCAAATGGAAAATTCAGTTTTGTAGAAGCCTGACTTTATTCGACCAAATATTTTACTTTCTTTGTATTTAATTAATTCTTTTAAATCTCCAAAGAAAAAACAAAAAAGAATTTTCTTACCATCTTCCTCTCTATATATCCATTTCTATCTCACTTATACTCAGTAATTTACTCTAAAAATTTACTCTTGCAGGCCACAATTGATGTGGCCATACACATCTTTTTTTTTTAATTGTGCAAACCTGATGTAGATCAAACATTATTTGGGGGAAAAATTTGGATTAAAATTCAAATTTATAAAAGCTATTGATTTATCGATGTCATTTTATAAACATTTTTTTTTTTTTCATAGCTGGCTGGTCGTCTGCCTACAAATTGCTGCATTCACAGCTCCAGGCCAAGAAAGTATCTCTAATGCAGACTAAGGTAAGTTGTTGTTCTTTTATGTGCCTTCAAGACGATCATGGCTCTTCACAACATCCTGCTTTTTGTCGCTCTTTGTAATATTTGGGTTTTTACCGTCCCTCTTTTTCTATGTTCTATCATCCATTTTCACAAATTCCTTAAATAGATCACTCGCTATTTCCCTAGGCTTCTCTTACCTATGTCTTGTATGTCCTTGTCTGTGTTAAAGTCTCTAGACTCTCTTTTCTCAATATGTGTCCCAGAAATTTCAACTTTTTCTCTGATTTGACATCTAAGTTTCCGTGTAATTCCTATTTTCTTTAAGACTTCCTTATTATTCACATGTTTTATCCAGGGTATTCGCTGCATTTCACTTGTTCTAGATTTTAAATAATTTCCATTAAACAGAACAGATGTTTCCACTTATATCAGCTAAAAAAAAAATTCTGATGTTTTTTAGTTTTGTTTTATTGCATAAATTTCCTCATAAAATGAAATCATTTCATTAATTTTAGTTATTCAATAGTTACCTCCCTTGATTTGTAACTATTTAATGGCGAAAATGAAGAAAGAGTGCTTGGAAAATTTGGCGCTCACAATACAAAGCAAGAGAGACCGAAGAAAGCAATCCATAACCTACCTAAAGACCTTGTGTAAATGGTTGGCAAAACAGGGATTAGGAGAGATAGCAAAAAGACAATCTATACTGAGAACGACAAAGGAAAGAAAGTTGTGTAGAACCATGGGACATGGCATACAGAAAAAGAAGCTTTTCTCACAATTGAAAAAAAAAAACAAATGTTTTAAATGAGTTGAAACTTTTTAACATTTCTTTGATGCCATTAACTCATTGTTTGAGATTGCAAAGTTTAAAATAAACTTGTACAATAGTAACAAATATTTTAAAATGGAAAAATGCTTTTGTTCATCAGTTATGACCAAAGAAGAAAAGAATCTAAAAAATGATTTGAAAATCTTATTCAAACTTTCCCATTATTCTGGGGACATTTTTAATTTAGTATTATGGAATGTTATGTGTTTTCATTTTTATTTTTCTTTGTTCATTTTTTTTTTTTTCATTTAATGGCCAATTGTTTCTTTGATTTTTCTAATCAGCGCCAGAAGCAGACAACAGTCATGGCACCTGTGGTGGATTTGAAAAGACACGCTGACCTCACTGACCAACCTCTCCATTTTAACCAACAGACTGGACGCGTAAGCTTTCAATTTCATACTCTGCATTTTGCCCAAGCAATTGTCATGACCATAATTTGCTGCAGACGTTTTTTTTGTTTTTTTTTTTTTTTTATATCTCACTTGACAAAGAAGTTTATAAAAACATTTTTATTATGAAAATAACTTTTACGGTCATCAGTAACCTTCGTTGGATAATTTTCATTTTATTTCTTCCATTAGTAGATTGTTTTTTTTTTTTTTTTTTTTTTTTTTCGATCCCTCATGGGTTATTTAAAGCTGAAACATATTCTGGATTTTAGGCGGCTGCTTACAGTATCAGTTATTCTGAAGCAGTCCCACATCTAATGTACTGATCAGGCTCAACACTAACTTCAGTGATCAAACAAGAACTAGTGTTTTTATTTGATTTTTAATAGATAGATTAAAAGCCTGTTTGAAGATACTTTTTTTCTTTTCTCTTTTTATAGGGAAATGATCCCTATTTAGTTTATAGCTTTCTTGGAACTAACTTATAACTAATATCCAAGTGTAATCTCAGCTACTTTGATTTCTAGAAAATATTTAAATATAATTTAAATCATTTTATTAAATACTTTCAGATTTTCAAATCCAGTTTGCTGACATTCAAATTTTTTAAGTTTCCAAAAATAAAAAACATATATCTATAAATTCACATGTAAAATTTACGAAACTTTTAGCATAAAGATAGACAAAAGTCACTTATATATAGAGAATGAAAAAAATCCTAAGTGGTATTTTAAGAAAAATAGTTTTGTAAACATTTTTCTTTTGTTTTTCAGCTTGAACGAGGCCCTCCAGCTTCTCTGGGCAATTCTCCATTTATTGCTTCCGAACCAGTTCCATCTCTAACTGGGGTGGCTGATGAATATGACCCCCTACGTCCAAATGAATACGAAGAAATTGTGAAGAAGAGACGCGAACAAAGACAAAAGGAACGAGAAGAAGAAAAAATAAAAAAAGATAAAGATCGTGACGAATCTTCCAGGTATTTCTTGTAATTTACACATGTCGTTTATTATGTCAGTTACATTGAATCTTCTTGAGATATATCTGGTGAAACAAAACCTTTTGATCAGATTCAATGGTTAACACATAGGATCTGTATATTAGTGTAGGTTGATTTTTCACTTTTTTTAGAAAATCAACATTGCACTTGGTGTGAATAAGTACTGACACCAAAAATTAGATTCATAGCTTTTACCAATTTTTGAGCATTTCATTTCAAAGATCATCTGATAAAATGTATAGAAATGCCTAATTTCTGCAGGTTTTTGCTTACAAACTGACTTCAAAATTTTACTATTTCAAGAATAAATCCAAATAAAGTTGATATCTTTTGTATTAGATACCTTGAATGGAAAATATATTGAAACCAGAATTCTAATTATGAATTACCATAAGCAAAATATACTTTTTTTTTTTTTTTTTTTTTAAACTGTAAAAAAAAAAATCTAAAAGATTACAAAAAAAACTACTCAATGAATAATGTTTGTTAGAACATAATTGATAAAAGTGTATATAATGCCATAATACTACTGGGTACAAATTATAAGACAGTGTTTTAAATTTGCATTTTTTATTGAAAATTGCACTAAAACTACTGCACTGTATTATATATTACATCATAAGATAGCTAAATTGTTCAGTATAATTTCCCTTGGAAACAAATGAAGGTTTTATTTGATGGCCCAATGATTTAGTTATAATGTCCTTGTACTATGCATCTTGTCCATATAAAATTTGTAAAGCTTTGGAAAGTTTTAAATTCTATAAGGCTGCAATAAGGCCTTCATTGATCACCAGAATGAAATTGCCACGCTACGATTTTGAACATAAACTTAATCTTCAAACTGGTTTCCTCAAAAACCGTTAAAGATTTGGAAACAAAAACTATTTTGTGTCATCATTTATCATCTCAAATCCCAACTTTCAAATTGAGTACAAGACCATGGTTCCAAAATTAATCTGCTCTACTGTATATTAGATAGTAACACAAGCCTGAATATAAACTCATGATTTAATTTAGACTGGACTAAATGAAGGTAGTACAATTAGATTTGTATATAAAAAAAAATTATACTATACATTAGAATTATCAGCATAGTAACCATCAAAAATGAAGAGATTATTTTGATTGGCACTTCTGCCTTTGATCAGTGTAGTGTCTGTGTGCTCTGGTTAGGACCAAAGTACTGCTTTCAGAGAAATTTCATAATTTGTGAAAATGTTTATGGGTGTGATCTAGTGACTTATGACTTTTATACACTTTATTTTCAGTATCACGATGTATTCTGCTCACTCTCCTTTGTTTTTAAAACCAAAACAATATATACTATGCTTTTATTTCTTTATTTTAGTCGAAGATCAAGCAGTCGACCTGAACCACCCACTCCTTCAACGCCCGTCGTTCTCCCTGGTAGCACAGACCCTGGCAGTGAAATGGATCAAGCCCGTCGGCGCCGAGAAGAAGAGAATGAAGAGGATGAGGAATATGAGAAACCTAAGCGCCGTAAGTTATTGTCCCTTTTTGAATAGTGACATTACAAATATTTCTTTTCTGTTAATTCATCCCAAAATAAAAAGAATTTATATTTACTAGAATTCGCACCAATTTCTTTTTTTTATTTAGATTGTAAAAAAATTCCTTGTAAGTACCTCAAATATCATTTGCACTTACGAAATGTGAATAACCCCCTGATTTTTTGGTAATTTTTTTATTATGTGGGTTGGAGTTGTTGCGAGGCAGGCTAAACAAATTTTGATTGAAAATTTATAATTTCAAAAGTGCCAAAAATTTAATTATAAACAAACTTTGATTTTATAATTTCTTGAGGTGAATTAATATTTGCAATAAGTAACTTTACATTATTTGGCATGAATTAACAGAAAAGATACAAAATAAAAAAAAATAAATAAAACTATTATTTCTGGTTGTGCTGTTTCTAAGTGTGGGGTATATGTTCACACTCAACCCTATAAAAAAGCCAAAAACAATTTTTTTTCTTTTTATTGTAAAAATTTCTTCTAAGTACCTTGAATATCATCCACACTTACTCCTGGATTTTTGGTAATTTTTCATTCTGAGGGTTGGAGTTGTTGTGAGTCAAGAATTTTGATTTATAATTTAAAAAGTGTCAAATTTAATAAAAAAACAAACTTTGATATAAAATTTATAATTTCTTGGAGTGAATTAATATTTGTGATAAGTAACTTTACTTTATTTGGGGAGAATTAACAGAAAAAATCCTTCTTTTCTCTTACCGTTAATTATATATTAGAGCAATAAAAACGAACATATAAAAAAAAAATCCATAATGACAAAAATGGATGACAAAAATATTACCTTAAATTGGCAATACCAAAATATGGCAATTAAAAAACCTACAAAAATTAATTTACTGGTCCTCTCCCATCAGCTGGGGTTGTACATTTTTTTTTTTAGTCACTGCGAAAATTTCCTTTTTGTCCTCAATTTTTGTTCTGATGAGAAGGCCATTAAACCTGTCTGGCTGTTTTTAATCATCATATTTCAGTATTGTCATTTTATGATATTATATATATTTTTTGTTATGAATGATCTTTTAATAAATCTGCTTTTATTGTTCTAGTAAAATTTTGTACACCTGTGAAAATATATTGTCATCATGAATAAGAATTTTTTTTTTTTTTCTTAACTTTCACACTGAAATTTCTATTTCTGCCATACTAGGGTTGATATTATAGACTAGTTATATTTTCATCTGCTGAAATAAGCATATTATATATATATCTATATATCTATCTATATATATATATATATATATATATATATATATAAATTTAATAATTATTGTAAATTTTTAAATAAGCAAATAGGTCTTTGTTAAAAAAAACAAAATTACACTGTCAAAAATAAGCCAGTGTTATACTTCATGGTTTCATATATATATATATATATACACATTTTTTAATAATTTTTCTGTAACTGGACGTTTTCATTTTTTATTTACACAAAAAAAATTTCAATGAACTTATCAGACACTGAATTCTTTATTCACCATTTTGATTTAAATTAATAATAAAAAGATTTATTCTTTACTTGAACAGCAAATACCGGGGCAGCCATTGCACCTCCCATGTCCCTCATTGAAGAAGACACAGTATCAAAACCAGAAGGTAAGGGCTTTTATAGAGAATGTCACTTGCTGGCACTCAATTCTTTCATGTGCTATTTTTTTCTGCACCTTCTTTTCTCACCTGCCATTTCTTCTTTTTTTGTTGATACTTTGATTTTGTTTTAGTCCTGAGTATGACGATAAACTACTTCAGCAACAAGGCTTCAAATCAGAAGATTTTAAGGATTGTGGAACTACCTTTTAATTGCTGTTGTTCCCAGGTCCACCCTGACCTAAGGTGATAGCACCCTGTTAGGGTCCCAGGTATGGGTAAATAGAGAACCCCCAAACAAAAGAAAAACATAATGAAAGTATAAAAATATATTTTTATAGTAAAAATACCAGCAATACATTTTTATAAAAAAAATTACCAACAACCCCTTTTTGTAGTGAAATTGCTAGCAATATATTTTCATAGTAAAATAACATTCAATACATTTTACAGTAATATTGAAGATATGGCATACATTGTCAAAAAAACAATTTGCTATGATTAATCTCGTCTCTTGTAATGAGAAACAAGTTTTTACCCCTCGCTTGATTTTGTAAGATTATTTGGTTAAAAAAAAATGCAGCTAAGTAATTAAAATTTAATCATGAAGTAATGTCATTCTCTTGAATTGTGAAGTTTGAATTTTCATATTTATTTTTTGGCATAAAAACTCGGTTTTTGATATGCCACTAAACAAAAACAACCAAACCATTTTTTGTTTTTTCTTTTCTTTTTTTTTTTTTTTTTAAACTAAGACTCAGTAATAAAATAAATTTTTAGCAAACAACTGAATGATGGCATATATCAATTGACCTGCTATACACTCTGAAATTAAAGATGGGTGCCACAAAATTTCCATTGTACATTTACTGTGAACAGATACTGGGAATACAAGAGGAATAATTCTAAAACTTGATCCATTTATACTTCTCTGTAATCAGCTAGAAGAACCTATCTAAAGGCGTACTTTGACAGGAGTAAGGGAATATTTTACCAATACCTACCTCAGAAAAGAATTTTAATAACCCACTTTTGGTGGATGTTGGTCTTTATAAAATTAGGTGAGACTCATTCGCAGAGTAATGAATCCAGATTTTGTTGGGGGTCAAAGATTTAATTAAGGCAAGAGGAACATGATTAAAAAGGACAAAAAAGGAAAACAACAACAACAATGGTAGTTGGAAACATCAGAATTAGGAGAAAGAAAAGAAAATGAAAAAGCAAAAAATTTTATAGAATGAGCTAACCAGTTGTTTCTCCCCAATCATCAAAACTTGATTAAAGAAAGTCAAATTATGTCAAAATTGACTAAAAAAAAAATTAAACATGGGGAAGAAAACGTATTTGTATTAATCATATTGAGGCAGGAATATTTATAACCAAATCACGTAAATATATCTGCCTCAATATGTTATTAAGTTTCATTTTTTAGTTGATGTGGGCATAATTTGACTTTCTTCTATCTATTTATACATACATATATATATATATATATATATCTCAAATATGTGGTGCAGTTCAATTTATATTACATTACAATCAATCATTCATACAAAAAGTAAATTAGTAAACTGAAACATTACTCTACTTATTGAACTATTTATTTCATGCCACATTGACTGATAAACTCCTACAAAAAAAAAAAAATTCTCAAATTACCATATTACTAAAAAATGCACTCACTTAAATTTTCAAAAAAATTCAACCTTAGCGTAGCACGCTCAAAAAGTTTGTATCCGTTATCAATATCACATTTAAAAAAAACCTATTTCGATTTGCATTATATTTTTTCCATCTCAGATGCTACCTGAATTTTACCACAAACAAAATAAATTCCATGCCTGAAGATGACTGAATCTATAGTCAAAAGTACTTTCATATTTAAGAAAGACTTAATGCAGTTTATAATCTTAAAAAACAAGGATCATAACATTCATCGAGTGATTAGTAGGTTAATGCATCTTTAAAATTTTGTTAGCGAAGGGATTTCGCCATTTTATATCATTAACTTTACTAATTTACTTTTTGTATGAATGATTCATTGTAATGTTATATAATTCTGTGACTTCTGTTAGTCTGTCCGTTCATCACACCCTCTAAAATAGTCATACATTGACCGATCAAAACCAAATTTGGGGGAGACATGCAAACAGGTAAGCGGGTACAAAGTACAGTTGGTTTTACTATGGTGTGTAGTTTAGTACAATAAATTCCCATTAATTTTTTTGAAAAATTAAAAGTTTTATTATTTAAAATACAAAATGCTCTCACAATTAAAATAATAAATACTTATTTACTATAAAAAGTTTTTATATGTAAGAATCCAATTTGCAGTTCTCCCTGAGTTTATGAGAAGTATAAACAAATCACAAGGCTAAACACTTCAATAAGTTGGAATTTGGCTCCAGAAAGAAATATTTATGCATGGCCAGTTGTATGTGGTATGCTCAAGAGTAAGAAATGCTAAACCTGTATTCTTCACTGTTAAAAAGGGAAAAAAAATTTTCTTAAGAATTAAAAAAAATTAAAAATATTGTTTACCTATAAAATTAAATTAAAGAAATTATTAAACCTCGAAGTCAAGTATTTTTTCCAAACAAATCAGCTTATTCAAATTTCATCAATTGGTTTGCAAAATTTAATGAAACATAGTTTGTAAATTGCGAGAAAAAAATATGAGCAATAACTTCAACAATAATAAATACTGTAAGGATTTCTTCACGCATTAGCTTGTTGCAAAAAATTTTAATTAATCAAATTTTGATAATTAAGGAGCGATAACCCGTTATCTCATTCTATGAGATTTTTTGCTTTTTTATTTTCTTTCTCTTATTTTCATATTGTTGACTGCTGTAATTGTTGTTTTCCCTTTCTGTTCTTTTTAATCATGTCTGTTTTTATTGCCTTAAGTAATGAATTAATAAAAATCAACAGAATGAAATTTGGAAATTTTTACCGAAATCTTATTGTACAACTACTGGCAGAATTAGTCCATTAAATGTATATTGTAAGTGCATTGCTAATGCTTTACTATAGAAACACATTGAAAATCAAGAAGAAAGGAATTGTCATTGGTCAGGAATTAGCTGAGTATAATAGTAAGACTTATACGTAGAATGGTGAAAATATTTAATCTCAAGATCTGAAAACAAATCCAAAGTAGTATTGATGATTTTGTTTTTCGTTTGTAGACGGTACAGAAAGCCCCATTGCTACTGAACGAACACAGTCTCCACCTCCACTGGGATACAGTATAGGACTTGGGTAAATTTATTCTTTTTCAATTTCTCTGTGGCACTTCTAATCAACATTGGTTTCTGTTTTGTCATGTGTTCTGATATGATTCTTTATTTGGTATTTTTTTTGTTTTTCTCTTTTTAATCTTAATTGTATTTTACTCAAAAGACAATGTTTGCAGACTCTGCTGAAACCTTTGCTTTCGGACTGAAAGAAAGAAAATAAATAATTTAGTGAAGTTTTTACAAAACCCGTGGGTCAACAAGCAGATAAGAGATAAAGAAACAGAAACAAAGGCATTTACTAATTTACAAAGAGATGCTGAAAAATAAATGTTAATTAGTTATTACTTGAATTGTTGCCTTCAACTTAGTCATTTGAAATTATACACAGTCTGACTTAGTTTCAATATGAAATATCTGAGACATGGATTTATTAGTTGTCAGCATTTTGGATTCAACACAAAGGCAAAATACTGAAATTATCAAAATAAACAATGTTCCAAATGGCCAAGGCAGAATAAAATGAAAGCAGTTGAAAAATGTTGTGTATAGACTTTACTTTTAGAATGGTGTAAGATGTTCTATCTATATTTCTGGGATGAGGTACTGTAACTATTTACAGTGTTCAGACTGTTGTCCACATCTTCAAGTGATATACATTGGAATTTTGAACCAAACTCTTTATTGAGTCCATGGGGGTAGATTGTTCTAGTTCCGTGTGCCATGTCTTTGGATATCTCAGTTTCAGTATATCATTTGATGAAGGCCAGAGCATACAACACCCGAAACATTGTTAATATGGCAATAAATATGAGGACAATATTCTAATGTAAATAGTGTATGTTCTGTCATGTAGATTTTTTTTCCTATTTTCTATTGAAGTTTGATAAATATTGTTGTTTTTAGGTAAAAATTACTATCTTTACCAGAATAATTACAGAATCTATTCTTTTGTATCTAATGTAAAACACGATAAGAGTGAAATTCCTGCATTTGAACAAAATAAAAGCAGCTGGTTTTATGCATCTAGGTGATATATTAATATCAACAGGAGTGGACATGAACAAACCAAAATGGGCAAAAAATTTTCGTGCATATGAAGGGCAAAACATTTAAAAGAAGAATTTTTTTTCAAATAGTGGAGACAGTAATATGAAACTACTTAAAAATGTTCTATATAGCCTCTACTTTATGAACAGATATATACAGGGTGCGATGGGTAAATTGTTGCCATTTTATATTTTTAATTTTGTGCATGTGCATTCTTTGTTTTTGATTTTGTCTACTACACAGTATAGTAGGGTCAGTTGGGCAGCAGTTGTGAGGAAAAGAGCAGCATGACGCAATTTACTTTGCCAAAAATTTGAAAACGACATAATGTACTGTTTGGCATTTACATCAGAAGATATGAACACTTCCGAATGATGGAGTGTCAATTTGAGGACAGTGCAGAGGATGCTGTGTTCCTAAAAGATGTACTGAGAGTGAAAACCAAATATTTTACTTCTAATTGAATGTATGGATTGTTTTATATATATGTATCTAGAGTTATAGGAATGTCGCCACATTGTGGCCGTGTTCATAGTTGATATTATTGAATGTTGTTATTTTTTCTTTTTTATTAATAATGCTTCCATTGTTTTGACCCTTTTTCTTTACAGGCTATGATATTTGTATTATGAAGAAGTATGTTGCAGATTTTTGCTGCCTAAATACACAATATATAATCTATATTCATTTCACTCCAAGGACAAAAGATGAACGGGGTTCATGATGACGAGTGACATTTGAAGATTGTAGTTTTCAGGGAAGCCAAGTAAACAGAAGGAAGTTCCACTGTCGGGAAGTGTGAGAAAAGAAACTGTTGGAGTAGAAGTGGTGGTTACATTTAACTATTTCAACAGTAATCCGTGGGACCTAGATGCCAGTTTAGTAACACGCTTAAATTCATGTAGTCAGGGCACCAGGGGAAAAAGCTTGCCAGAGCAGTTGCCATGAAAATATTTGTAGAAAAGATGGAGGGAAGCCACATCACATCTGTCGGGAAAGTGACTGAGGTCGAGTTGCCAAGTCACGAACAACTATATTGCACACACACACATATATATATATATATTATATATATATATTATGAAGAAATATAGTTTTAAGGTGTGCTATATTTATGGGATAAAGTGCTCAATATCAGAGATAGTGTATGTAAATATAAATATAAAAGTGAACATTGAAGTCAACACTCAGAGGCAACAGGCTGTTTCATGCTAGACACAGTCAATTGAAACAGCCTGTCACCTCTGAGTGTTGACCTTAATGTTCACTTTTATACTTATATATGTATAAAATATGTATAATATATATATATATATATATATATATATATATATATATATATATATATATTCTACCATTTCCATTGTAGTTAAAAAAAAAAAAAATGTTTTGTGAATAAAATCAGCATGTTTCTTGTCAGAAAATTGTTAAAAAAAAAATGTGATTCCTGCAAATTTCAGGAACAGGTGTATCAAAACATGTGACATTTTTGGGAAATCTAAGTTGATTTATTGTCTTATTTTAGTACTCATTTTTATGCCCACCTTACTGAGAGAAGCATTCATAATTTGGGTGATGATTTTTTTTTTTTTTAAAAAAATCTCAACTTCCAAAAGACAAAATTTTTGACTGGGTAAAAAAAAAAAAACGTTGAAAGCCACAATTTTCAAGATTTAGAAATGCCGGTAGCTGAGTTAAAATATCAACATCAGAAATGTTAATGTCTGTATCTGTGAACCAGCCTAAGAGATGAACAACTCTGAAAACAAATCCAATATATCACCACGGAAAAGATTATGACACTTACAATTAACTTGGTTGCTGAGTCAGTTGTAAAATCATTGATTTAAATTGGTCAAAGAGGTCATAAGAATGGCCGGAATGGAAGATTGCATTCAAGAATGAAGCAGACTGTCTCCACCTCAGTGTCTACTTTTTTATATATATATATATATATATAGATACACCTAGTGAGCCAGACAAACCTACCTTTGTTTCACCTAAACGGATCGTCAGGGAAAGTAAGCCTTACTTACCCTGACGATCCATTTAATGTGAAAACCTACGTAGGTTTGTCTGGCTCACTAGGTGTATCTAGGTCTGCTCTACGTTTGTATTGAGCGCTTTTGTTAGTTAGTTGTTTACTCGTATCGGGGTTTTTTCTTTGGGCTTCAGGCGTTTCTGTGCGTTTTTTTTTTTTTTTTTTTTGTCGGCAGAAGTTCATGTTTGTAGTTCTTTCTTTTTTTAAAACCTTTTTTTCCCTCAAGATTGATTTGATTATTAGCAAATCAAAAATTTGAGGGTTTTTTTCGAAACAAGTCTAGTTATCTATAATTATATATTCATTCATTAGTCTTAGTTCATTTTAAAAATAGGCCAATTTTCTAAAAAGAAACCCCTTCCAGTTTTGATAGATAAGCTCTAAAGAGGAAAAACCTGTAGTATTTCCGTTATTTTTTTTTCTTTCATGTCCTTTTGTTTATAGACAAGATTAATTATTTTGTTAGTTTATTTCTATAATTTGAGTGATTTTCTTTTGAATCCGACAGTGGTTCAGTTGCTTCAAAAATTATGGCCAAATATGGTTATAAAGAAGGCCAGGGTCTTGGCAAACAAGAACAAGGTATGAGCACTGCTTTGTTTGTGGAGAAAACGAGTAAACGAGGCGGCAAAATTATCCATGAGAAAGATCTTCCCAAAGGTAAGCTTACTGCTTAAAAACCTGTTTCTTTCATCCAATGACCTGTCATAATTTTTTAGCAATGAAATCAACCTTTTCAATTCTTTTGTCCCAAGGAAATATTTATTTTAATAATAACAGTTAATTTAATCCTATTTGTTTTGTTTAAAAAAAATTTATACTGAAGTTAGATTGAAAGAATTAATATATATCTATTAAATTTAATATTTGGAAATTCTACAAAAAATGCATTTTTAAACATTAATTTTATTTTTGGCTTTATTTTTATATTTCTTATTTAATTTTCAGTAATATAAGAGATTAAAAATTTAAATTTAATTTGAGTATGTATGATTTTGCTTTTTTTTTTTTTTTTACAATTAAATTTTTAAAGATATTTCACTTTTAAATGTTTTTGCTAAGGTAATAACACTTACAAAATCTTTTTAAAAAGCTGAATATTCTTCTTAAAATTTAAAATGCATAAGATATTCAATAAATTCCTAAGTCAGTGGCAGGAAAACGATTTCTCAAAGTACATTACAAAAAAAGAACCTTGAATGCATTAGATTTAATACTTAAAAAAAGTTTGTAAAATTTAATCATTTCAGAGCCTCCCCGAGAAACGTGTGTTACAAATGCCAACCTGTTGAAAAACCCATCGAAAGTGATATTGTTACGTGTAAGTATAATTTTTTTTATAGTCTGTGATGAGAAAATATGAAACTGAAAACTGAAGGTGCCTTCTGGAAGCTAAGCAAAAGTATTAAGAAACAGGAAAATTTCATTCGAATGTATTGTTATGTAATATCAGGAAATGGAATGAGTGGAAGGAAAGAATGTCGATGCAAAGATATTTTCTTGTTTTTATAAAAAGTAATATGAAGATTTTGTTAGCAGCAAAGAAAAAAAATGACTGTACTGACCTGTTATGTAATATCGATCCTCCAATATAGCAGTGAATGCTGGACAATCTCCTCATAGATAAAGACGATTGACACAAGCTTTTTAAGCTTAGCACCTGAATAAAAAGAAGTTTTCTGGAAACAAAAAGGCTGCTTACACTTAAAATCAGAGAAAGTTGAAACTGCTTAGAAACATAATGAGAACCAATGTTATAAAAACATTTTTTACTTTGTAAATTTCATATGACAATATTTCTTGATAACTTTCCAGTTCTTCCATGTGTCTTGTAATTTCTCTTGTAGAATATGGTTGGTTCTGGTGAAGTTGATGATGATCTTGAACCTGAGACTGCTGAGGAATGTGCCAAATATGGAAAAGTGGTGAAATGCTTGATATTCGAGGTAAGAAAAATTATTCTTACATATATATTTTTTTCTAAGTATAAATATCATTTTAGTACAATGATATTTTTCAACATAAATTCTATAGTTATTTTCCAAGCATAGCTTAGATGTGGCACAAGGCCAAAAGTATAGGGCATCTAGTAAGGATCGAACTCACTTTTCAGTTGTAACTGATCTAGCGAGACAAGCTTGCTAACCATTACACCACGCCGAGGTGCCCCATAAATTTTCTCTTTGGGGAATAGGTTCCAAAATTTTCTACTTATAATTAATGTTAATACCCAACCCCACCATGCATATATATATATATATATATATATATATATATATATATATATAATATAACAATGACTGGCTGTTCACTTGAGTCCTCCATCAGTTAGGGGTGGCTAGCTAATCAAAGAATCTAAAAAATGCTACACTTATTAAAAGAGAAAATAACATAGACAAAAAGTTCTTGAAAGTGCAATTATCAATTCTTGCCAAAGTGTTAACTTACAACCTGGATTTTTTCCAAATATCTCCTTTCTTAAAGGAAATACTCTTTTCCCAAGCCAACATAGATGATCATACAAAATTTACAAAAAATTAAAAGAAACAATTAACTCATAACCTTTACATATTTAGAATAAATAAATATTTAAATAATTTTATCAAAATAAAATAATAATTACATTAAATTCAACATTTACTCATTTCCATTTATTAGACAATAAATTACATCACTTAGCATCCATCATAGTTTACCATTCCTTACACAGTTAGCTTCACAAATGTGTGTTCTTGGAAAATATGGAAACTTAACAGTATTTTTCTTCCACTTCTGTTTATAAATACAAGTGGCAAAATAAATTCTCTATGTATACCTTGATAAATTCCTTCATGGAACAAAATGCATTGGCAATGAAAAACTATTTGTCTTTATTAATATTGTTAGATATATTTTATTTATATCTGAATTTTTACACACACACACACACACACACACAGAACAATTACCATGAAAATATTAATAGAAAAGGGGGTGCAGAGAAGTTATATTACAGCAGCAGGAAAGTGACTGAAGTTGAGATGCTAAATGCTACCAATAATATTGCAGATTCTTTTATCAAGTATTTCTATATATTAAGCAGGAGCACCATTCTGGATGTGACGGCAATATTCAAAGCATGGACTAAAGGTATCAGGTCATCCCATAAGTTCTGTCCAAATTTTGAATAAAGAAAACAAGTAACCAAATGTTACATTTAATTACAGATTCAATCAACAATGTATTTTCCCTGATTATCTATGACTTCCTTCCATCTATTAACAAGCTTACTAATTCCATTACTGTAAAATTCTTTTGGCTTTGATTCGAAGAACTCACAAATGTCAGTTTTAACCACTTCCTGTGTTACAAAAGCCGTTTCTTCCAAATGATTCTGTAAGCTATGAAGCAAATGGTAGTCTGAAGGAGCAAGATTGGGAGAATAAGGTGGATGAGGAATTTTCTCCCAACCAAGTTCTTCGATCTTTTGTGATGTGATTCTTGCTGTGTGGGGTCGCACATTGTCCTGATGAAACATCACCTCTTTTCGATTCACTAGAGCAGGTCTTTTTTCCTCAAAGCTTAGTTCAAACACTCTAATTGCTGACAGTATATTTGAGCATTAATTGTTGCATTAGGTGATAAGAATTCAAAGTGGATTATTCCTTGGCGATCCTACCAGATGGAATGAAGAACCTTTTGCCCATGAAGTTCCCTTCTCAGCTGTGGCTGGGGTCCTTCCCCTTTACCAAGCCACTGTCTACTAAACTGAGTGAATGTTTCTAGCCGCTTTGGCTGCTGAGTTTCCTTTCTTGAACTCATAAAGCATTATGTGCCTCAAATGATTCTTGGGTACTTCCATGTTAGCAAGATTTTAATCAAACAAAATTTAATTTTATTGTTCTCTGAAATAAAATTTGTTCAGTTTAAATGCATCTAAACATAAAAATAATGTTCAGCTCCATTAGACATTATAAAATACTCTTTAAATTTTGTTCATTTTAACAAAAAGTTAAAATTCGGACAGAACTTATGGGATGAACTGATAGATTTATAAATATGTAAGATAGATTCTGTCAAGAAAAATTGTCTAATGCGACACAGTGAACCAACTTTCCTAGCTCCCAAGTCCAATTGCATGTGTAGGAACTTTCTTTCATGCTTACAATTCAGATTAACCTTAGACCTATTGTATAGCATATATAATATAATATATATATATATATATATATATATATATATTATAATAATAATATCATCAGTTTTAACATATTGTCTGGATAAATTTAAACCATTTTTTAATTCCAGTCTGATGAGACAGGTATAAAAAATTTACCTGTTGAAATAAATTTATTGTCGAATTTTTCATGATGTGTTAAGTAAAAAACTTAACACATCATGAAAAATTCGTGTGTGTGTGTAATAAGGTGTGTGTTTAATAATAATGGACTCTCCTGTCAGTTTCGACGTATAAGGATCTGAAAGCTTTGTTGATTCAGTTAAGAAATTTTGTGCGCTAATCTTAAGTGGCATTTAAGACCTTGTATATATCGCACATTGAGTGCTGGTGTTAATAAAATAGTGCTGATGTAATATAACACAGCTATAAATTATATATTAAATATAGATTTTTTTCCTCCCCCCCCTAGCTGATAGCATTCTACCCAGTTTCATGCACAACACAGTCTTTAGGTACTGACTGTTCGTGAGTAATACTACTAGTGAGCAGTAAAAAAAAAAAAATGTATACTTAATACTACCCACAAAGAGTGGACGGGCAGGTACACTTACAAAACTCTGGTGTTCGGATGCGAAATGTAACATCAATCAGCTAAGTGACAAACTTTTACTCATATATATATATATAACCACTCTGTTTCTGCCTATAGGTACAAACCTGTGATAAAATTTAATTTATGACTTAAGCATAGTAAGAGGCTCACATTAATAATTCAATAAAAAAAGACAAATAATAAAAATTATGTTAGATTCGTTTTTTTTACTGTATAGTGTGTTCCTAAAGTCAGGACAAATCAGCAAAAATGCATATTTTCAAGAAATTTAATTTTCAGCAACATTTTATTGAATTGGAATATTAATAAATAACTTCTTCAATATGATTTTCATCATTTGTGAGACAAAGGTTGATACACTTTTGCAAGATTCATGTGAACTCGATGCAATAACTCCACATTGCCTTCAATTTTAGCACATTCACTCTTTATGCATTCAATCAAGTTTGATTTTCATTGACTACACTTCCATTAGCATACCCTAGAAAAAGAAGTCAATTCTTTCTTCTTTTGACAAAACCAGGTTTAATCTGTGAAGGAAAAAAAAATATATAGTTAATGATATTTCCTATGTATTCCGACTTTAGGGGTACCTTGTACATTTAAGCAACCAGAGCAGAAGATATTTTTTTCTGTCAAGAAAGTTCGGCTTTTTTCACTTAAAGAAAGCAATTTACAGTTTCTCTTTAGCAAATCTGAATTGCCAGCATTCCAACTCATGCACTTTTGAACCATTATTAATTAAAAGTAAAAATTATTTCTTTTTTTTCCTATGATTGACCTCCAGAAGCAAAGAGTCCCATAATTCTCTTGTTTGTTTGACATATGTTTCTGGCTGATAACAATTCATATCAAATCTGTGTTGATGATGATGCTGCTTACATACTTGAAAACTCATTTTTAAACGGAACGCCGATCTTATAAAAATTTCAGTTATCTGTGTGGATTAGTCTTACTCTTATGTCCATCGACTTTTTCATGTTGAATTGAATATAATCTAATGTTAATTATGTTTTTATGAATATGTCCTGAAGATGGTCTATTAGACTGAAACGTCCAACGTTGACATTATATTGACATTAAAACAGCATAATTGCATATTGGGATTTTTGGTTGTTTTTCCGTATATTTTTCTTCATACTGTCGGATCTATATCCATATATTTGCTTACATACTGTCTACCGGAAATACAAACCTGAATTTACTTTATAACATGGAAGACTTCAAGCTTATACGAAAATATAAGAATCTATTGATCTCCGCGTATTCCTATAAGAACAGAAAGGATTTCTTAACGAACTGTTTATATGAGAAAATCGTTCAATCAAGCTTATCTAATATTTTGAAATCATCTTCGAATACATTTTCACAACATCACCCATGTGACGACGACATGATCATATTTAAACAGAACGCTGATCTTATAAAAAATTCAATTATCTGTGTGGATTAGTCTTACTCTTATGTCCATCGACTTTTTCATGTTGAATTGAATATAGTCTAATGTTAATTATGTTTTTATGAATATGTCCTGAAGATGGTCTCTTAGACCAAAACGTCCGACATTGACATTATATTAACATTAAAACAGCATAATTGCATATTGGGATTTTTGGTTGTTTTTCCGTATATTTTTCTTCATACCTGAAAGTATTATTAAATGAAAGTGTTATCAATTGTTTCTGGGATTAACCGCTGGTGAAGTGAAGCAGCCCCTGTAATTTCTTGTTTCAATTCCTCCTTCCTGTCGATTATTTAATTTTTTCACTTGTATTCACAGATTCCAGGTGTTAGTGATGAAGAAGCTGTGCGTATTTTTGTTGAATTTGAAAGAGTTGAATCTGCCATCAAAGGTAAGGGCATGTCTTATTGAAAGAGTTGAATCTGCCATCAAAAGTGTCTTATTGAAAGAGTTGAATCTGCCATCAAAGGTAAGGGCATGTCTTATTGAAAGAGTTGAATCTGCCATCAAAGGTAAGGGCATGTCTTATTGAAAGAGTTGAATCTGCCATCAAAGGTAAGGGCATGTCTTATTCAAATCTTTTTGCCCAATTTTGTACCAGATTAAATAGAGATTGGTTACTCCTATCTTCCAACTAGGTAGAGCCTGTCTACTTTGGAAGCCAGTATTTAAATTCTAGCTACTACCAGGGCTTGAACACCAACTTGTGTCAGGATAGTGAAAATATACACTTTTTTCTAACCTACAAAACAAGCTTGTTCTGGCCCAAGTTTTTCGTATGGTGCAAGGTCACAATTGTGGACAAATGATTTTCGTGGCTGTTTTGTTATCTAGTTTCAGTCAGGCCAAAAGCTATTTAACCTGTTGCAAGAATGCTTGTTGTGTTTAGGTAGTAAACATGTGTCTCCTGATATTATTTTACCCCGTAACAATTATTGTGGACTCCAATGTGAGTATAAGTAATCAATGAGTTTCACAAAACAATATAAAACAAACAACAATGTATGTATTAATAAAGGTATTACAATGACAATAAATGAAGAAAACATTTGAAGACAAGTTTCATAAAGCATTTAAATTAGAAAGTGTGTGTGTGTGTGGGGGCAGGCAGGCAGGCAGGCAGGCCTATCTGATAGATATGTGTGTAAAAGAGTACAAAAAGTAACGAGAGGAAAGTAAGACATTGAAAACTAACATGCCCCAGTACTAGAGGACCATTTTTTTGTTTTTTGTTGTTTTGTTGTTTTTTTTTGTCCCACGTGCGGCTACATCTTATAGCCAGGGTTGTAAAAAAAAAAAAAAGTAACGTAAATGAGGGAGAATATCATTCCCTATTTATAGGATTAAGGAATGTCCCCTAGCAACAGTTTTTTTTTTTTAGGTGAGTCAAGTGGGATAACCAACAAGCCTAATTTCTGCCTTTTATTAAATGTTTCTTTTTTTTTCTTTCCTTTTTTCTTCTTTTTTTTTTTTTTTTTTTTTTTTTTTTTTTTAAAGACTTGTTCAGGCTATTAGTTGCTTTTTTTTTCTTTTTCCCGTTTCCGTTGTTTATACCACCACATTTCAGTCCAGCAATAGACTTCCACAGGTTTATAATTCATATTAAAGATAGACTCTACAATTTTAAGAGGAGTCATTCTCATTCCAGGAATTTTTAGGACTACTAATCTCATTCCCTTTTTTTTTTCTTTTTTTTTTTTTTTTTTTTTTTTGTGTGTTTCGGCAGATCCTTCCTATGGGCCCCACTCGGGTGTATAATATATGGAAAGAGGTTTTTGCTTTCCACCCAATATTACAAATTAGAAAAATGTTGAAAACAAACAAAAACCACAAGTCATTGGGATAATTTTGGGAATTTAATTTTACATTCTCTTTTTTTTTTTTCATTTAAAGCTGATCTTTTTCTTCTCTTTTATGAGAGTTTAAAAAAAGCAAAGGTTGCAGATAGAAATGGTAAATGCAATTTTTGTTTGCATTATTCAAAATTTTTAATTTCATCTGACAAAGTGTTTCTATTTATTTTTCAGCTGTCGTCGATCTAAATGGACGATATTTTGGAGGAAGAGTGGTGAAAGCCGGATTTTACAACCTGGACAAATTCCGGCGTTATGACTTGGCTGAAGAACAAGACTTTTGAACTCAGTCACTAGAACTTTTCACTGTATTTGTCACTGAATGTAGAAGCGGCCTCCTAATGAATTTCTAAGGCAAAATCTTAAAGAAATTTTCAGTGATTGAGCATTAATTATTGATGCTCAGATGAAACAAATGTTGGCGTAATCGAAGAAGATGTCATTTTTTCATTCATAATAAATACAAATTTCATCTGAAATAGTAACTCCTGGATTTTGTTTTATTTGTTTTGTTTTTTAAAATCTAACACTTTGTCATGTACATGAGTGCAAAAGTCAAACTGACTATAAGGAGATGCAAGAAATGCTCAAAACATTCTCAACTTTATCAAAATTACGTAGGCAATTTTTTTCACTCTTGCTATCTTTCTCTCTCTCTCTTTTTTATTATATATATATATATATATATATATATATATAAAATTGAATTTTAGAATGGAAAACAACATTGCACATTTCATACTATGAAAGGACTTCTTCAGAGTAATGGTTTTATTTTTTTAGTTATATTTGTATGTGTGTATGCAAGGAATGTTGAAGATATGAGGCCGACAATGATGTGACAATGCATGAAAAAGGTCAGACTGAATTGATTGCTTCATCGCTCTATGGTAAGCAACTAAATGGAAAATAATAAATAAAAATAAAGATCTGAAAAATATAAAATCAAGGGAAATAACTTTCATTTAATTTAAAAACATTATCTCCCTTGGGTTTCAATCTAGTAATGGGGAAAGTCTTCAGTCACTTAGGATTAATAAAAAGTAACAATGCCTGAGTTATCTCAAATGTTTAGGATTTACTAATTCTATATCCTGTGTATAAACAAACCCCGTAAAAAAGCATTTTATTACCCTCTGCCTTGTGTTCACTTAACTCAATCTCTATCTGCAAGCAAACTATTGTGTCATACTTTATTGAACACCTTTGTGTAACTTATATATCTTATTCCTTTGGCACTTCTTTTGTTCAGTCTGATAGAAAAATCAGAAAACTTTCATCTCTTATTCCAGATTCTTCAACAAGACATTGTTCTTGCCTGATTTCCTGTCTAATTCTAATACAAGCACTTATAATTAGAATCCTAATTATTATCCTAATTATAACATTTAGTTACAGTCAGTTATGTGCCATGCATGATTCATGCATAGATGATCATGTATCTTTTGATACATGACTGACAAGGCAGATTTTTTCCTGCAGTAGGTTGCCATTTCTTTGTGCAGTAGACCAGTTGCCATCCAAGGTTATAGAACCCAGTCTGTCATGCTATTTACATATAGCTGGTGGGGAGAAGAAGAGGATTCATACCTTTCCCAAGGGTATTAGCATGTAAGTGAATTTAATGTATTCGACTGGAATTCAAACTCGGCTCTCAGATTCCTCAATCTGAGCCACTACCCATTACACCACCATGCCTTCCATTACTCCACCATGCCTCCATTTAGTTACACAAATTCAAAAATAGAAGGACCAGAGCGGATGATTCTTGTTATTTTCATTGCTTACAAATTTTAAGTATGCAGTTACAGTTGATAAGACAAAACTAATGAGTGGTACTTGTTAATATTGTAAGTATACACTTTTTGCCTGGGTATCTACACAAAGACGTTTAAGATATGGAGACTTTTGCCTTTATGACAGCTGATGTCTCACAATATCCCTAAATAACTTCCTTGTCATCTTCTGTTAATTTTTAAAAGGAATTTTTTATGATCTGTTTTGGTCACAGTCGGCTTGTATACCTACCACAAATTTGTTTTCTCCCCAAAAATCTTTTTGGTGGTCAATGTGGAATTCATATTGAATACTTTTTTTTTTTTTGTTAAAATATCTGCTCATTCAAGAAAATATTTTTTTATAATAGTAATTGTTGAACTAACACCAATTGTATGTAATTTAATGATAGTTCTGTTGAGTCTTTTTTTTTTTTTTTAATCAATTCACCATAAAGCTATTAAGACCCAAGGGCTACTGGGAGCAAGAAAGAATGAGAAGATTTTAGCAGGAACCAGAAACCTAGTCTTAAACAGAAAATAAGGCATAAACCTCTATGTCTGTTTAAACTGGGTCTAAAGTTTAGTGCTCGATGGTTGCATCAGATTTGAAGAGCTTACCGTATTTTCTTGTGTATTATACTATTTGAGTATTATATGACCCTGCGTTTCTGAAGCTGAAAGCAAGGAATAAGTTACATCCTTGAGCATAATACAAACCCATAATACAGCCATCCCTATGTATTTGTAAAGGCGTTCAATTCCAAAAGAACAAATATTGCTGACATATCAAATACTTGTTGTAAACAGTTATCAACATATGTCCACTTTGTGTTTTATAATCTCTTGTGCTGAGTGTATTTGCAATCTTTACTGTTTCAAATAAGTTTTTAAGCTGAGTAACAAATTCTCAAACACATTTATGTATAATATAACCCCACCTTTTTTCCCTTAAATTTCCTTCAAAATTTCTTGTATTATATGCAAGAAAATATGGTTTTGAAGTTCTCAAACTTACACATAAAAAGAAATACTAAAGAATTCTTTACATAAAATCCATGGTTTAATAAATCCCCAAATTTGTTTAGCCGTTATATGTTATCTGCAGTTAAACATTCAGATTTCAATTTCGGATAAATAGATAAGCTGGATGATAAAAGAATGGCTTCTTCTTTTCAAAGTATTGTACAGGGCGCAGCAAAAATACCTCTCACACAATGGTAATATATTAGTGTCCGTGGTGTCTTCATTTAGCAACATTATTTTTGCATCCTGGGTATGACGGTAAACTACATCCGCGTCCTGGGTATGGCGATAAACTACATCCAACAGCAAAGCCTCAGATAATGTTTTCGGAAAAATAATGTTGCCAGCTATGCGTTTTTTAAACTATAATGTTGCCAGCTATACGTTTTTGAAACAATAATTTTGCCAGCTATACGTTTTTTTTTTTTAAACCATAATGTTGCCAGCTACACGTTTTTGAAACAATAATGTTGCCAGCTATAAGTTTTTTTTGTAAAAAATAATGTTGCCCACTATACGTTTTTTTATTCCATACAAAATAGGCATTTAAAATTCATATATTTGGGATATATATATATATATATATATATATATATATAAACTGGATTTGGCATTAAATAACCCACAGTGGTTGATATGCCATAAAACCCAAACAAACAACATTATTTTTGAGTTTAAGTTCAAAACAAACATTCTATTCACTGTAGAAATACAGGGTGTGGCAGAAATACCTCCCACATAATGGTAGGACATTAGCTAGATAAAGACACCACTGACACTAATGTCTTACCATTATGTGGGAGGTATTTCTGCTGCACTCTGTATATCAACTAAAGACAGCACAAAACTATCTTTTTACAAATAAATACAAAAAAAAAATTAAAAAGAACACAGGTTTTTTTTTTATTATAGAATTTGCTTTATTCAAAATATGTCAAGTTAAAATCAATATTTTTAAAATGAAGGCCATTAATTGCACTTTTAAAGAAAAATGCCTTATTTTTGTCACTTTGAAAAAATACATTCATCTTGTTCTTCTTTTTATTAGAAAATGTCAACACCAGTTTTACTTTTTTCTGCTTGAAGTTCATTCATCATTTTTTTTTTTTTTTTTTTTTTTTCTGTAATTTTTTTATACAATTTATCGTTATAAAAACATTCAACCCTTTCAATTTTTTAAAAGTTTTGAAAGAATGCCAAAATTGGACTATTAAATGTAGTGGAACCTCAGCGTACAAATGTCTCTCGTCATGAACAAATCAGTTCGCAAACAAATGTTTCTGAACAAAAAACATCTTGGGCAACAAACACGTAAGTTGACAGCAACAGAATTGGTTTTGGAGGAAATGTCTTCAGAGGTAGCAAGTGAGGATGTTCGTAATTCTTTGATCCACAGAATTTGTGCAAAATGGAGTCAGGTGCAAAGATTTGTGGAATGATATCACCCTGATTAACCAGTAGCAAGCGATAAAATAAACCTTTTCGACGACAATGCCATGCCTCACTTTAGAAACATTTTAAAACATAGACGGAAACAAATTTTTAGTGAGACTGAGGTCAAGTAGAAGCAAGTGGTGTTAAGAGACAGAAAAGAAAAAGATAAGAAGCCCCAGAAAAACTGATTTTTTTATGGATGTGGACTCCTCTTCCAAACAATATCATCTCTCTCCTTTTCCTTCCTCACCCTCCCCCCCACTCCATACAGGTACGGTAAAATTAAATTAAGTTTTCGTCTATATTCTGTTTATCTTTTTTTGCGTCAGACTTAATAATTTTCTTTGGTTTTGTTTATAAACTGTTCATAAAGTACTGTTTTAAAAGTTTAAATAAGCAATCATCTTGGTTCCAGGAACAAATTAATCCATTTTACATTGATTTCTGTGGGGAAAATAGTTTTGGTTTACAAACATTTTGAGTTATGAAAAGGTGTTCAGGAACAAATTAGATTTGTGAACTGAGGTTCCACTGAACCTGATATTAATATTCGAGACTTAATGACATGTTTAACCAGAGATTCACTCTCTTTTTGGTTATGCCCAACAGAGGAGAATGGATAAAACTGACCGAGAAAGAAAGGCAGTAAAAAATCATTTATTCTTTGGGACTTTGACTCTCTTCTTCTAAAATCCTAAATCGTTCCTTGGATTGTTTTGACAAGTATATCATTAGTCTTAATGCTTTTATCAGCAAGTTCCAGTCATTACATTCTTTGGTTTTTCTATGCTTTCTACATCTGCCAAAACATAAGGGGAAATTCAACAAGGATGACGACATTGGTCTGAATAAAACAATGTCTCTTCTTGGTATCAGCGTTAAGAAGGCTGAAGAATGTATCCACCAAACTAGGTCAAAATATTACTCTAAACAATTTGTGAAATCAGGATAACAGTCTAGCCAAGAGTTTCAGATTATCAGAAAGGCAAAAACACACTGGCTGAAATTTAGTGATAAAATCAACAAGGATCAGGATGTTAGTCTAAAGA